TATCTAGCAGGTGGGTCGAGAAAAAGAAACAAACTGCAAGCTCTTGGGTCACGTGTTTTCTGAGTTTATTTAATAAATTATATTTTTCTGTAGTCCGTTTTAATATTTGTACTTTAACACGAATTTGTGATTAAAATATAAATAATTTTTGGTCCAACGGTGAGTTGTGTTTCTACGATGGTTAAGCTTAAAAGTTTCGAGCTATACGATCAAAAATTTAAAACCTAAGACGTAATGGGACTATAATTAAATCGACGGTAGGTAGTTTATTTTTAATACAATTCCGCGAGTCATCGAAAAATCCACAAACCAGCAACAAATTAAATGACGATCGGTGGTCGAAAACTTGACTATAGGTACCATCGCGTGTACCTTGACCGTAGGCAATAGTGACAGTTGTAGAGAAAATGGATTTTAATTTTGTCATAGGCGATACGAACGACATTTAAGCTCATATACCTACCCGTGACATTCTGAATAACAATTGCGACGTTCTGACCCTATGGGTTCCTCCGTTTAATATGGACCTGGGCTGAGAGGTAGCAGTCATCATAGTCATATCGTCACTCGTTTCATTCCATCTCGTTTACCGCAGAGGTAGGAGCCTACAAGTCTAGAGTACGAAAATATAAAAAACCCCAAGTGCACTCGCCTGCGAGCCACGTCGGACGGGAGACGAGAGGCTATGAGTATTATCGACGAAGTGATCAATCTTACTAAAGTGCACCTCCCATTAGGATTTATCGAGCGTAACATTTTAATGAATTCGCCGAGTACGTTATTACGACGATGACGTGTCGGTGAACGTTTAGGCGTAATTGCCATTGCAAATGACGTCGTTTTGATCGACAACGACGACGACGGGAGACGAGGACTCAAATCCAAAGGAGACATGTTTCGTGTCCGACGTCGGGTCATTATTATTAGTCTTATCCGCGAACATACAGACGCACCGACATAAAGACGTGTTGATGAGTTCGTTTGAGGTCTCCATTATAATATGTTGTTATAAGTCCTACTATGGAAATCACTCAAAAGTTTAACACAAATGTGACGTAACCGAGTGTGGTTTTCATATCGATCACCTCTACGCCATTAAGTAGGAGGTATATAATATAATATTGTAATTCCCCGATATTATTATTATATAACTTATATACGAGACATGCCACTTAGGTACCTGAACGATTAAACATTGGATATTATCGTGATTGAAAAACGTCTGGCCCCAAACTATAATTATTACTATCATCGTTTGGCAGGGTTCAGCAGTATCAGAGATACAATCCCAGGTAGCAAGTCTTTTGCTTAAAAATATTATTAGAACATTATAATAATATTATTCGTGATTATAATATTAGTATAACATTATTATAATAATAATATTATTATATTATCATTACAAAATGCTACCTGGGATTGCATCTTGTATCTTGTAACAATATACTATTATTACAAATGTTTGCACTGGATAATAGTACAAAAGAAATTGATTTCTATTTGCCGCTCACTCAAAACAAAATTGTGGTCATTTTTTTATCTGTGTCTATTATTAATATTGTATTGTACATAATTTCGTCGCGGATTGTGTTTTTACAAAAAATTGTCCATGCTCGATTGAGCCGAAATAAACAATAATGAAGACATTTACCATACAATGTTATGTAAGATAATTTTAAGAAGGTTCAATTAAATCACCAGCTATCTATAATATTATCTATCTACAGTCATACACAGATAAGCACCAAACTGAAATTTTCGTTGTCATAAAATATGAATGCGTTAGGGTCTTTCCACATGATATAAAATACATAAATTAATAAAACAGATAAGCAATTACAGTGTACTATTCGGATTGTTGTAAAAATTTTTTCGTTTTGTCTTCTGTGAGATAGTGTCTGGGTCCAATGTCAGTAAAATAAGTACACAATTTAATAGTTAATACAATTAATTTCTAAATACAAAAGTATCTTAGATACTATTGTATCTTGTATCTTGTATCTAGATACACTAAATTCATGTATCATGATACTTTATTTTGAATATCTTGCCCAACCCTTGGTTGTAGGTAGCAAAACTGAGCAGTATGTGTGAGATGTTAAAAATGTTTACTAAAATATAGTGAAAAAAGAGTGCTAAACACGTTTCTTTGAGTTCGAAAATATGACTTTAACGGGGCTCGAGTGTTGTGGTGATCATCATTTGGGAGCTATTATACTATGGTACAATATTATAATTATAATTTGAATCGTTTTTTAATTCGTTGATTCGTCCCATTAATTGGCATGATGTAAAACGATTAATCAAAAGAGATTATTATTGGACGTGCAAGTACACTACGTAACCGGACGATTAGGTATTATTATAGGTACACCGACATTGGCAAATTGAAAAATATTTTAATGCGAAAGGACAAGGCAATAGTGTGACTTACATGAACAGGTACTTACTAGGTACTTAGTAAAATATATATATATAATATATTAGACCATGCTTATAAAATAAACAGTAAAATCATGAATAATTCGTTTGGAAACTTTTATGGTATACAATTCGAATAGTGTTTTAATTCGTTGATTTAGCATTAATAATATTATTATGATGTACACCGTGATTAATCAAAATAGATTAATCATTGTCGTAACTAGAAAAATGATAGGTACGCAAGTAATTATTATTGGACGTGTGTAAGTACGTGTGACTGAATAATTAGGTAGATAACGACATTGCCAAATTCAAAAGTATTATTTTAATGTGAAAGGATGAGCTGGTGACTTACGTGAACAAGTAGCTACCTACCGTTTAATAAAAATATGTATTTAAATCCGTGTTTATAAAATAAACAGTAAAATGATAAAAGATATTATAAGACTATTTGTAAATATGTATAGCCTTAACGTGTACCTAACGTTTTAACAAAATAAGTTATTTTTTATATTTTAATGCAGTCGTATGGACCCGGACGTATAATAAAATATGTTAACATTATTTAATGGCCACCTTATAATTGTAAGGGCTCTTTAAGTTTAATAACAATTATTAAGATGTGAATAATCAAATTTTAAGTATTACATTTTTCTGTTTAGTGTTTTCAAACAAATGGCTGATTCGTAAACATTCATTTTTGATGAAATACATTAACTCTTTAACTATATTTTTTGTCAAACCCAAAAGCCTTAAAAATAATAGTTTATAAGTATATTTTATTTCTCAAACAATTCGAAATTAATAATAATGAATTTTAATACTAAAAGTGATGTGGGAATCAAGAATAAGAAATGTTTATTAATTTTCACGGCTCCTTGAAAATAATATTCGAGTATAGTGCAATTATTTTTCAGTACGTCTCTGCTTTGCGACGTGAAAAACATAACGGCAATTATTAAATTAGTATACTTTGATTCACACAGTCAAAGAGAAAAATAACTAATTAAAATATGTTTTTATTATTTTTGAAAAGTCCGTACTAAAATGTAGTATGTAACTTCTCGGTATTTCAGCTTTCTAATAAACTTACTGAGCTCACAGAAAAAAAAATGTTTCAATTCGTTCATCAATTTGATACTTTGTGGGCATAGTGTTCTCGGAAGGAACATTATTACAGTCAAGTCCCCTCGACCCGATTTTGACTACCAGCTGTGCTAAAGTTGAATTTCTGAAAACTCGAATCGTCAAATTCGTATAAAAAAATTGTACTTTTTCCATCCGGTGTGTCTACACAATATTGTGATGAGTTCCGATGAGTGTCGCGTCGGTAAAAATTCAGAAGATAAAATATTTATACGTTTCCAATAAATAACTACGATTATAATATTTTACTTAAACGACGATAGTTGATCGACTATAACTACTACCCACACAGCATAAAAATATTTTCTAACTAAAGTAAAAATATTTTCAGGAAAATAATATAGTTGTCAAAATATTTTAAAAAGTTGCGTAAATAATTAGAAAATATTTTAGTCAAATTCTTTATATTTCTGAAAATATTTTATAAAAAATATTTACAAATCGTTTTAATCATTTACTTTCAAAAAAACATTTTTTTGCGACCATATGGTACAATATTTTGTCATCATGAGAAGAAAATATTCAAGCACTTGAAAATATTCACAGAATATTATCATTTCCCAAATGCTCTGTATCTTATCACAATGTATAATAACCCTGAACAATTGCATCTACCCATAAAAAACGCAATAAACTATTTCGATGACTTTTATAGGTACCTAAGCTTCAAAATAGGGGTGGGTCGAACTCAAAAATCCGGTCTCAAACCAAACACGAACTGAACAAATTATTCTGAAGTGCAATGACGACGTCGAACTCAAAATGAACGATCTGTTTAATACCGAACTGAACTGAGGTTTTAAATGGTATTCGTTTGGTATGTGATCTACCGAGTGAAAATCTAGTTTAGTATGTGACCTACCAAGACGATAATCTATATTATGTACTGCAATTTAGACTATTAACTGATATATTTTTTAAATTTTATAATTAATATACAAAAAGTATTTTAAGAAAAATACAATTTTTTATGACATTTTTTGAATAATTTTACATATCCACACATTTTTTTAAACTGATATTTTGTTTGACTGATTTTGACATTATAAAATGTAATCCAGCTGTTCCTGTTTTTTTTATATTTGTATCACTAATTAATTAAATCATTACTAACATACATTTTAATTTGACTGTTTAATTAATTATCGGTTAGCACTATCGGGGTCACATACTAAATTAGTACCAAATTAACTAATAACGAATAACTAACCCTTTGGTTTTATGTCAATTTAAAACATGACACATTTTTTTTGTTCGAAACGTATGACTCATATTATTGACTGTTCAGATTTTTTTTCAGATTAATAATCAAATTTCGAACATTTTTTTCTGTTTTTCTTTTTAAATTAGGTTCGTCTTTGACCACTTCAACACCTCTACTACTTCGAATATTGATATTAGGAATATTGATATTATTGTGGATCACTCACTTTTCGCCAACAGTAAAACGAAGCACAGCGAAAACGTTTTCATCTCGGTGGACATCATTTTGAAGGGCGTGGAGGACACGTCTGTGTGCTCAGGTATCTCTGTGTGCTTATGTGTCTCTCGAGTGGTTATCAACCCCTGTCGATGGGGTGTAGGACAATCTTATTATATACCCCTAGGCGTCGATGGAGTTTGCGTGAGTGCTGTCTCGGATTGCGTTCAGTGTTGCAGTCTTCGCCTGCAAGAAGTCATCTCAACAAGCCAACTGGATACGGGTGGAAAATCTGTAACGAAAAACGAAAAACCGTTAAATAATAGTACAAATAATTACAACGATAACATGTGATAATAGAAATAATGATAACATATTCGCACGACGCGAGGACGTTATAAGATAGCGTTGGACCCCAAAAATCGTTTTGGATATAATTTGTGGTCGTGTTACGACATTTTTGTATTCAGTTTACGTCAACAAAAATTATTTATACTGTATAATGGTAGGTGGTACCGTAATGTTTAATATTATATTTATATCGTCCTCATTAACACGGCATGGCTTTATTAGGCATACAGGATGTAACAGAAGTACGTGAAAAATAAAATAACTTTTACTCTAATGAGTATTTTTTTAATTTCATTTTTTATGATGGAACTGACTCGTGCGTTACACCTTTAATGTAAAAAGTTTTTGTTCTTATTTTTTAATACTCAAAACAAAAATGTTTAAATCGTATTAAATTTTGTTCAAAAATGTCAAACAAACTATTTGTAAATCTGTTTTTCAGAAAACTTTTGATTGTCAAGTGGTTTAAATTTTATGATTTTATAAAATGCCAACATTTTTTTAAGTAAAAATTATTAATTTGAACTTTAATAACTTTTAAAGAAAATATTTAGATTCACAATTTCACGTGCAATATTTAAAATAATCTTATACTTTTTCTATTTAAAATGTTTTTACGACTAGTTCGACTTTACTTACAAAAAAAATTGCGAAAAATCAACGATATGACTTAAATAAATATCTTTACATGTACATTTTTCTAAAATCCAATTTTGCAAATTGGATTATTTGAATTTTCATAAAAAAAAGATGTATATCAGATTTCGATTTTTTTATTTTCAGTACTAAAACATTTAAAATAAAAAAATTTTTTACTAAACGTATAGTGCAAGCCAATACAAAATATGGATCGAAACAAAGTAATTTAATTTGTCATGTCTTCCAATATTCGTATCTTCGTATCTCGTTGGTTAATCCGACTCTCTCAAGTGCCAAACCTCGACCTATAACTTCCCAGTCTGGAGCTTAATACTTTTCCAAGTTTGCGACGATGATATTATGTAAACAACATAATATATAATAACGATGGTGTCGAACCAATAAAAATTATTTATCAATTTGTATTGTCATCAGTCGAAGATGATAATGTGAGCCGGCTGTGTCGTGCAATCAATTTCGATCTGTGCCCATGTCGTAATAACGCCCTTAACGACGTGTATATTATAGACTATTGGCGCGACAAACTATAATATAATATTATATTTATATACGTGTATCTACATGTATATTACACTCTATGGCGAAGTATAGAAAGGCTATATTATAAAACGCGAGACAATATATAATATATAATGATATATTCAACATTTTCATATAAACGAGTTTTTCGAGCGAAAATCTAATAGGGTGTCGCTCTCCGGCCAGAGGCGTGTAGTACACACATACTACGGTTGTCTGTAGTTATATATATATATAAATACACAGAGAGAGAGAGAGAGAGAGAGAGAGGCGATGTATGTATATATGCAGTCGGTATGGCTGACGGAGGAACGGAGAAGATATTATTATTTCCTGGGAAATTCAAAAAAAAAAAAGAAAAGCACCTATACATATAGGTGGTGTACACTATATATAATAATATAGCTTCGGTATTTTTTCCGCCCTTCCGAGTAGAGTAAAGCGCTTCTTTTTTTTCGTATCTCGCTCGTGTAACACGACCACTACCACGTGCACGTCCACGTATACCACGGTCGCGGCATCAGCTACTACCACTGTGCATGTACCACGTTTGACGCGGAGCTTAGGTGTGCGCGCCCGAGTGTGCTTCTATATAATATATATATATATATATACATTATGTATTGTATATATATATTATATAGTGTAAGCGGGGAAAATTATCGACGTCAGACCCGAAACGGACCTGATGGAAAAACGGGACGACGGCGAAACCCTGGTGGCCGATGTACCGTGAACGCTTGCATACGTTTAACACCGTCGGATTTGATCCTCCCCCCCACCCACCCACACACAGTCTCCCACCCACACGTGCGAGCACAACACCGATCCGGTATGTATATGTATATAATAATATACGCGAAAGTAGATCCTAACAAAGGCACTTTATTATAGTTTCCGGGTGCTCGGGTTTTGCGGGAGTGTGCGAACAGCGAGCGTATTTCTCTGTACGTCGCCGATCGTATTTTCCCTAAAGGCGTATAAGCGGGGATGGGGGGGGGGGCGAACGCGGGTGGACCTTTGGAAATACGACGTCGAATCGACGGGGCGAAATTGGCATTTTTGTTGTTTTTTTCGCCACCCCCCCGGTTTCTTCCCCAGACGCGCTATTTTTTTTCGCCCCACGAAGTACACGTCCGCTCCCTTTCAATTTGCAGTAAATTCGAGTGCGACGGACGTTATTTACAGGCTCGACGCTTAAAAACGGCAGCGGGATGACGCCTCTCGCTACCGTGGTATAAGAGGGCGGTGGTGGCCCTACGATTTAACCCCGGCCGGAACGCATTTTTATACTATCGTTATTTTTGTAACGACTTCGGGCCGCTCCAGCGTTTCGATTCGGAGCTTTTAATAGTCGTATTAGTTCACAAGATATCATAATATATAATGTACACACGAGTGTGCGTGAGGTGAGGGCCGAGAGTGATCCACAGCCCCAAACAATGGCGTAATTTGGAGAGGGGAGCAACTGGGGCATTTGCCCCAGTCTAGTATTTAGATCAACCTTAAGTCGGCACAATTACCACCCCACCCCCCACTATAGCACTATTCTATGAGAATCTGAGTGAAAAAAATTTTGAAAAGCAGGGAGAAGTTGCCCTAGTCTAATAAAAACTGAAATGACTGACTGGCTGGCCCCGAGTCCTTCGAACTCGAGGTTCTAAAATTCAGCACTGTGGTGATTTGAGCAGATTTTTTTCGTTTGAATTTTGAATTTCGAAGAGGGGTCTCGAAGCATAAATATTATTTCATTCGTTTGTCGATCACGCGGAAAACCGAATAGTAGCTGTGATCTAATGTACTACAGTTAGACCTGTGCTTTGTACTCTGTCAAAACATCTCCAAATCCCACACGGCATAAAAATATTTCCCAACTATGGTGAAAATATTTTAAGGAAAATAATATTTAGTTGTCAAAACATTTACAAAATATTTGAATAATATATTTTCATAAAACATTTCAACAGAAATTTTATCAAAATAATAAGTTTTAAGATTTTTTTGCAATCATATAGTACAATATTTTGTTATCATAAAAAGAAAATATTTATAAAATATTATTAGTCAAATGTTAATTATTCAACCATTTTAAAACATTTACAAAATATTATCATTTCCCAAACGGTGTGTGGGAAACGAATTTCGTTAAAATCCTATGTATATATTTAAAGGCATCTTAAGACGGGGAGAATCCAAGGGGCTTTTAATTTGTGATAAAATATAAGTTTGAACCGAAAAAATATTTACAATAATATTCAATTGTGTATACTTATTAGTTATTATTATAACTTTTTTGTAGTTTTTTCAACTACAAACTTAAAAAAGTTACCGCATAGATGGCGCGAGCAATACACAAGTATAAAATACTTCGCGTCGAATACCGAGGCTGGTTAGGCGTGGGCGGCATATTCCAAATCGGTAATGGTCACGCTCACAGTCATTGCTTTGTATGGAGTTCGAGTTTATTCGCGTGACTGTTGACGGGCTTGAAGTGGTGTCGATGTATATAATGATATATTGTAATAACTGCCCAAATATGATTTTTATAAACCGTACTCACTCTGCGGGGGACGACTGTGACGACAGACGCGGACTAAACGATTCCGATTTTCAGTCGATACTTCCATAAAGAGAAGTGGATATGTTTTTTTTTCGTCCGACCGTCTGTCGGCTGTGCGTCGTTGCAGGCTGACCCACGTCAGTGTAGGACTAGAAAACTTATCGCAATCGATGATGTCCGATTTAAAAAAACGAGGTGTTATAATAATTATGAACCAATCGAAAATAATTTGGTGGAGTTTGGTGAAGTTTCCGTCAATAAAAGTAATAAGATAAGATGGTTTTCTTAAAAGATTATTTTTCACGTTTCGCCTCAAGTTGACGCAAACAATCATAGTGCACAACGAGCGCAGGATTGAATCCACTGGTTTTACATGCACTTCTTAGATAAGTCGACAATATCGGGGTCAGCTGTATAGGAAATAAATATTTTTAATTAGGTCCACCGGCGAGCAAAAGTACGAATATTATTATATTTGAAAATCGATTGATTTGGGACGTCCAATCCGCGGTGGTTATGTCATAAATCCTAAACGAAAACGGATAAGTTTAATTTGCAATTAATCAGTTTTCGATCAATAGTTAATTTATACTTTGAGAGTTTCGGAGTGGGTGACGCTCAATAAGGCATATGCAAGGATAAACCACCTCGTCAGGTATGGTTACCTTTTATGAGGTAGGTACCAAAAAATGCAATAACCTAAGATGCCAGGCTAATAATTAGTATCTTTTTTCAGTTTGTAACCTAAGACGTCTCGGAAATTGCTTTGGCGTTACTTCATAATTTACTTTACACAATTAGTATCTAAGTTCAGTTTATTTGACGTACAAGCGTATAAACATCCTTTTAGAACAAAATAAAACGGTACAAACTTCGAAATTTTTTAGGTTTCTAAACATAGGAACACTTTATATCAACTTGGTGTCTGTCCGTCCGTCCGTTAGTTACCAATACATGATAACGAATTACTATTGTTTG